TACTCAAAAGAAAGAAGAAAAAAACTATGAAGAGGGCTGGAAACCCAAAAGACTGTCAACAAATAGGAATGTCCTCAAGTACCATTGCACTGCCTCTTTCTCTCTCTATTACATCACCTACAAAAGCCAGCCTCCTAAATGCAAAGAAAGCGATGGGGATGCTCACACAGTAAGTGAATATTTTGGGTGGACCTTCAGCCAGGCCAAGTCCATTGATTATACCAATTAATGACCGGGGTGAGCTTCTGACTATGTTATTTACCAAAGTTACTAACGTGCGCGCTAGCTATTTTTCCTGTGGTGATGTTACTGGATTGAATCAGCAAGAACAGGTTTGGAGGGAAAAGTAGTATCTTTCGTTTGGCCAACAGGAATAGCTGAAAGAATTACACAAGCTTGCAGGGCATACAAGCTAATCCTCAACTTTAAACATCAAGAAGTGGCAATAGCTCTAATAAGCCACTATTTCTGGCACAAGATAATCACCTATGATCTACTTCCTTTATTTTTCACCGTATGCAATGACTCGTCTTATTGTTTATCCTTTTCAGGAAACATTTTTCGGAGGATGATGAATAGAGTGTTAATGGTTCTCTGTGAGGACTTACACCACATGTCATCATTCAAAATGGTCAATCATGGTCAAGTTGCAAACATAAAAGAAAGGGAATGAATGTGTATGGACTTTTCGCACATTTTTACATTAGTTGGCTACATTGAAACATGTATGAATGCATATTTGAAAATATTATTTCTGTTTATGGAGCAAAAAAAATCCAAGTGAAGTTAAATTATTACCCAAATATCTGGCAGGGTTGTTTGGTTTTTTGTTGGTTTGTTTGTTTGTTTTTTTCCTGCTCCATGTCATTTTATGAATAGTCTGGTGTGAGATGCTTTTGTAAGTTAAATTATTTAAATGACAAAGGGATCCTGCTTCTATGCCGCTTAGACGCTTCTAGAAAACCTACCACCAGATTTCCACCATAAAGATGTAATCAAAGTGAACAAATCTGTTAGTCCATATCTATCATGTACTAAACAGCTAAGAATCTCTCAGATTATCATGAAGACTGCATAGTTAAAAAAGTATAGATAAAAATTAGCAAATCAATCTTTCTTTTACCAGTGCGTAGTTTAGTGTTCACTATAGTCATTTTGACAGTTAGCATTTTGCGCTAAAAAAAAATCTAGAAACACAGAAATGTAGATTTTGAAGGGATCTCAAGATTTCTCTATTTACTCTCCTTCTGGGGCAAGGACCTTTACTATCGCTGACAGATATCTGACTAAACTGTTTTTAACTGCCTCCAAAGATGGAGGCAACCATTCTTTCATCTTTCAATCTTTCACAACCTCTTTAAGGAAAATAATACTGTGCCTAACTATTCTTACTGTTACAAAGTTGTCTTAGTATCTAACCTACAGCTCAGTTGAGGTAAGTTAACCCAATTATTTCTCAAACTAACCTCAATGAACTTGAAAAATAACTAGTCACTGTCTCCTTTATAAGAATTTCTTACTTCTTAATTAAAAGTACTATATTTAATACTTGACTTCTTTTTCTTAGGCTAAACAAACTTGACCTATTTCAACTTTCCTTAATAGATTATCTTCCCTAAAAAACTCTCCATCTTTGCATTAGTCTGGATTCTTTCTAATTTGCTTATATTTGGGCCTAGCTGGGAAGAGAATAATTATCTCCATTATGCTTCACATAATCCTTCTGCGAATAGATTTCCAAGTGACAATGTTTTGTTTGCAATAGCATCACATTAACTTCTTCAGTTCCTACTGCTTCCTCACTGATTGTTTCCTATGTATATTGAGTTTCCCCCTTCGGAATATAATTCCTTCATTTGCCTTTAGTGAATGAAATTTATTGATTTCCAACCATTTCCCTGATCTAGAAATATCATTATGATTTATAATTCTGTCTTTTGTGGTTTAACAGCACATATTATCAGTTTCATATTATCCATATATTTTTTATCATTGAAAGACATTAATGACAACGTTGAAAAGTACAAATCCCCAAAGAAACCTGTGATGAATTCAGTTGATGTCCTCCTAACTGACAGTTATTCATGACTTCTCTTTAAATGGTATGAAAACATCTCTTCCACTTTGTAATAGATTAACATATTTCTATAGTTTGCACGAGAGCATCCTGTGTGACTATGTCAAAAATTCTACTAAAGTGAGATATACCTTACCAACTCTTTCTTCCCATACTCCAGGCCAAGTATTTTTATGAGAAAGTAACTAGATTGCTTTAATATGATTCGCTGTGGAAACTTCCAGGGCAGCTGTGTCTTATCACTGTGTTATCCTACAGATGCTCATAGATTGATTGCTTAGTACTGAATTAAACAAATACTTTTCTTGTTATCAGAGTTAATCTGGCTGCTTTATATTTCCTCAATTAGTTTTAGCATTTCTCCAGTCCACTTGTCTTTTATAAGCTTTTATGAGCTTTTGAGGCTAATCACTAAAATGTGTAAGTGAATTGGCTAGTTTTTTAGGAATTTTATCAGATCTTGGTGACATGAATTCCTATAGTTTAATTCAGTGTTCTTTGCTTTTCTGCCCTATGTTCCTACCTCAGTTTTTGTTATTAATGTAAGTTATGTTATGGATATGGTCACAATTAACCTCTTTTTGTGGAAGCCAAAGCAAAAAATATATATATAGCTCTGTTCATTTGTAATCTACAGAGCTGTAATGAGTCATCTTGTTACTCTGCTTCTCCAAAGAAGATGTCAAACAAACCTTTTTGCTCAGTTTTCAAAGCAGGAAGAAAGGAATGGGAAGTTTTCATTTCCATGGCAACTATCCAGGACTTGTTTTGATTTATCAAGTAAAAATTGTGAAACTTTCTAACATCAAGAGCAATCAATTCATTTCCCAGCACCTCTCAAAATCAGAAAAGGAACACATTCCATTGTGTTTGAATGCATGGCTCCTGCTCAGTCTGAAAGATGAATGAAGAATTCTAAAAAACAATTAAGGAAGTGCTGTCTACTTAAAGCAATGAGAATTTATCATTGACCTAACACAACTCGCAGATAACCGGAAAAAAGGGAAGAAGTTATGATTTATGTTCATAGTGATTTATGTTCATAGTCGTATGGCTGCCTTCATTTGATAGCTGATTCAGCATATGGAGTGACATATAAATTCAGGCCTAAGGTGCCTAGTCCTGGGACAGACTTTTGTTTCCCACTGAGCTTTATTTCTACAAAAGGAACTCAAGATGGATACCCTGGACAACTGGTGTCTAAGCAAACATGAGAGGAAGAATATGAGAAAGACAGGATACGGAACCAAACACTGCCCGAGTGTGAAAGGTGCTCATCCAATATTTGTTAAGCTATAGTTACATCTATTTTAGAAGGGAATTGTATTTTATAAGCCTCTCATTGCTAGTCTGTTTTAATAAAAGGGGTAAAGACAAACATATTGGAAGCTAAAATATATAAAAAATGTTAATTCTGATTTTGAGTGAATTTTGCAAGCATGTAAGACTTGATCTGAATAAGGAAAATGTTTTGAGCCAAACCTTTTATTTCTTGTGTCTCCAAAACTACCATTGACATTAGTCTGGATGGGTGAATAACACATTATCAGATGCTTCATTTGATCCCAGCAGATCAAACATTTGATTTTGGATTATATTTATTTAACCTAAAAATTGTTCTGCTTAATGGAAGTACATGGAAGTCATCCAGCATCCAATAAGATCTCTAAATTCACATACGTGTTAACTGAAGATTGGACAGACAAACGAGTAAAAGTACTTGATTCCTATTCCAAAGCTAATAAGCTGACTTCAGACCCTTTTTAAAGATGTATTATTATTAACATTTATATTACAATTTTCTGAGAACTACTATAAAAGAAATGCATTAAAATTAAGTAAAGGAATTGAAGATGTATAATCTACGACCTGTTCATAGAAAATGCCATAATAGAAACAGAGCGTACGAATGACCGAGTTAAAAACTTGGAACGCTTTCTCCCTTTCTTCGGTCACAGCTCTCATGAGCAGCACCAATCCTGCCAGACAGTTAGGCACATGCCTTAACTTGAGTACTCATTTGCTGATTTGGGCCCAAGGACTAAAACCATAGAGGAGAAACTAGGACCTAATTATTATTTAAGCAAGCCACTAATGTAGCTGCATACATGGCTGTTTATAATGCTAAAGAAAAGAACTTTTTTCCCTGCACTGGATTTTTAAAAATAAACTTTATAAAATATTCCATCACATAATTCATGTCCCTTGTCTCTTTAGCAATATCCTGGTTTGATTCAGTGTCCTTGTACTAGTCAAACGCTTTCTCCTTCAAGTAGCTCAGCTCACTTTACCATCAAGGTAAGCATGCATTCTGTGATAGGTTACAGTCTTCCTAAACTGTATAAATTTGCTGGCTGAGGAAATCATTATGCTTATATTTTTTACAAAAGGAAAATATTGCAAGAACTTTTTGCACTACCTTCTCCCACATTTCAACTGATAAATAGAGAAGGTCAAAATGAAGCTTTTTTTCCTCATCATAGTTCTAAAACATGTGCATAAAATTTATGAGCAATGAGAACTTTAAGAATTCAGGAATATTTCAGAGACTATCTCAGAGAAGTTGTAAAGTAGAGCTAACTTTTTTAAAATTATTTTTGTAGCTGTTCATTCAAAGTATGGGTATATTCAGCCTCTTGTAGCAATGATTTAAACAGTGTATATGACGACTCACATAAAATATGCAGACATTACCAAATAAAACATCCTTGACTGCAGTGAAAGTATTAAGCATGTAAATGTATCCTAAAATATACATAACAGAAGTGTCAAGTTATTTATTACGAAATCATGTTCACTAAGATAAAAAGTATGTATAAAACTACATGACTTAATTTCTCAGATACCTTGACACACCCAGTGTTTGGACTAGCCTATTGTCTTAAAGCAAAATGAAAATGCAGTAAATAGAAATTTTGGAAAATATTTTTTATTATAAAATGTACAGTATATTGACCTTAACATTATAAAACACTGTAATGTATCAGAGTCTTGTAAAGACCAATAATTTATAAAATGAGACCAAGTTCACTGTTACTCTTTCTAGTCTCATAGTCTGATTTAGAAATATATATAAAATACATAATGCATGAATTTGACTGAAGCATCCTTTGTAGCTGGAAAAGGTTTGTTCTTATGTTATGGTAACTAATGTCTGAATTTATTTTTATTAAAAACAGATCACTCTTATTTGCTAAATTAGTCTTTGATTTTCAAGAGTTGATAGAAGAATGATCAAAAAGGTTAGTAATCATACTCTATAACGCTAGATTATGTAAAAGCACTGCAGGGGATAAAGAAAATTATGTCTCTCCAACAAAATACTAAAGCACTTCTATCACTGCAGCTCATTTATTACAGTTAATACTTCTTTGGCATTTTTAAGGTGCTTGTTAAAACAAGAAGTAGCTTTGGACTAATGACAAGTATAAGAGTACTTTAGGTCTCGGGTGCTATTGGATAGCATGAAAAACCATGTTGCATTGTCTTAACAATTTAGAGACCTTTTCCAACGTGCTAGTCCCCTCAGCTTAAATACATCTACTGCCTCCTTCTATTGCAGGAAAGTTATATCGTGTTGAATACAAAAGCAATGTATTTTGTATGAAAACAGAATGAATTCCATTGTGTTATTTTTTTTTCTGCCCTCAGCCTTCCTGGCTCTGTTTTAAACAGTACTTTCCTTGTTGCACTTGCCTAGCAGTGACTTGGACATTAGTATCCAGGCAAAGGCATTTGTTTTAGTGTTAGAATATGTGTATGTAGGTTGTTTTCGAATCACTGCCTAGTATATTTTTAGCAGTGCACTTATAGAAGCCTGCATCTCTTTGAGTAGACTGCTGGATGACTAATGACCCCTGGGGGTGAAGGAATTTGTTTCCATACAGACGAGACTGAGCTCCTGTTGTCAGATGTGATTTGTCTGGAAGCTCCCACGTTATTTCTGCTTTAGGGATCCCAATGGCCATGCAGTTGAGTTTCACGGAATTTCCAGGCCTGGCATAGATGACAGGTGCTGGCTCACTGGTGATCCGGGGTGGATAGGCTATCACTATGACAGGCACGTTCATAACAGAAGTGCCATACTCTGTGGACACCTTGCACAGGTAAGAGCCCCTGTCAAATACAGAAGCCTCGCGCACTGTCAGTGAGCCATTCTCCAGAAGGGAGAAGCGACCTACAGCCTGGGGGGCATCCAGGACCATCCCATTGGGCAGTGTCCAGGAGATCTGTGCCCGCAGATTCGGCTGGGTGATGCAGTGGAGCTGCAGAGTTTCTCCATTAATGATGCTCACCAGGTTGTTGTACTGGTTGCTAATTTCCGGCCTGAGTCCCACCTTCAGGAAGACAACCCTTTCCACATAACCTCCTGGGTTTCTGGCTGTGCAACGGTATGTCCCAGCATCTCCTGCAGAGAGACCACTGATGTGCAAGATCCCATCCCTCTTGTGGTAAAATCTGTGCAAATGACTTCCACTGGGGATTTCAGTGCCGTTGGGAAGGATCCAGCTTGTGCTGGGCTCAGGGCTCCCCTGGACAGAGCAGTTCAGGTTGATGCTGTGCCCAGCAATAGCAGTGATCCTTTCACTGACAGGGTCTCTGAAGGAAGGTTTCTCCAAATGGTCCGTGACAAGGAGCTGCACAATCAGCCTCGCTTCCCCTCCTTCGTTCCGCCCAATGCATATGAGCTGCACTGCATCCGTCTGCCTCACCCCTCTAATGTCCAAAGTACCATTGCGATGCACAGTGATCCTGTTCCCATAGTAGGGAGCAGGCAGGATCACCCCTTCTGGAAAAGCCCACAGGACCCGTGGAGCTGGGATGCCTTCAGCTTTACAATCAATAAGCTTCCGGCTGTCCCTTACAGCTGTCTCCCCCACATATGTTATCGCATTGAGATGTCCATTGATTCGGGGAGGCTGAACATTAACATGGATCCAGACTATTTTCCGATCTTCTCCAGCACTGTTCCGCACTACACAAGTGTAGTTACCACTGTCAGATCTTTGGGCCTTTTGGATGAGTAGGGTGCCATCCCTGTAGACCTGGTATTTGTCAGATAGGGCAGGAATGGGCCTGTTTGTTGGGGAGAGCCAAGTCACTTTGGGAGTGGGCTCTCCTTTGGCTTCACATGCTACAGTGACAACATCACCATATGGTACATTAAGGATGACATATGTTTTGTTCCTGATAGTTGCAGGCTCAGCCACTACTTTGACCCGCACTTTCATCTCATCCTTCCCAATCTGGTTCTCAGCATAGCAGGTGTAGTCCCCCTCCTCTCTCAGTCCAACATCATTGAAATACAGGGTTCCATTGTTGAAGACCACGTAGCGCTTTGTTCGGCTACCACTGTCGTCTGACTGCATGAAGGTATTAATCATGCTGCCATCTGGGAGACCCCAGGAGATCTCAGGATTTGGCAGACCTGTGGCTACACAGTCAACTTTCAGGTCCCCTCCATACTTGACCTTGTGGTTATTCACATTCTTATGTTCTATTTTGGCTGGTTTCATCATCACGTTCACTTTGAGGACCACATAGTCATCCCCAATCTTATTGCGGGCCACGCACAAATAATCTCCTGCATCTTTATCTGTGACTGAATGGACAATCAAAGTCCCATTGCTGAACACTTTGATTCTAGTCTCCAAGCTACTGTGAGGAAAGAGAAGAGAACAGGACATGAACTGCAAAATCAGGTTTTAGCAATTAATTATTCAGTGTAAACTGGAAAAAAGAAACAATAAACCCACTGTACTGAAAAAAGCATAGCATTGCTACAGTTACATAATTAGATTATCAGAGATGTCTAAGGTATTTACAGAATCACAGAAGGGGTGAGGTTGGAAGGGACCTCTGGAGATCATCTAGTCCAACCTCCCTGCTCAAGCAGGGTCACCTAAAGCATGTTGCCTGGGATCGCGTCCAGACGGCTTTTGAATATCTCCAGGGAAGGAGACTCCACTACCTCTCTGCGCAACCTGTGCCAGTGCTCAGTCACCCTCACAGGAAACGAGTTTTTCCTCACGTCCAGATGGAACGGCCTGTGTTTCAGCTTGTGCCCATTGCCTCTCATCTTATCACTGGGCACCACGGAGAAGAGTCTGGCCCTGTCCTCTTGACACCTTCCCTTCAGACCCTTATACACACTGATCAGATCCCTTCTCAGTCTTCTCTTCTCCAGGCTGAACAGGCCCAGCTCTCGCAGCCTTTCCTCAAAGGAGAGATGCTCCAGCCCCTTCATCATTTCGGTAGGCCTCTGCTGGACTCTCTCCAGGAGTGCCATGTCTCTCTTGTAGTGGGGAGCCCAGAATTGGACACAGTACTCCAGGGGAGGCCTCCCCAGGGCTGAGGAGAGGGGAAGGATCACCTCCCTCAACATGCTGGCAATACTCTGCCTAATGCAACCTAGGATGCCACTGGCTTTCTTGGCCACAAGGGCACACTGCTGGTTTGTGGCCAACTTGTTGTCCACCAGCACTCCCAGGTCCTTCTGCACAGAGCTGCTTTCCAGCACGTCAGCCCCCAGCCTGTACTGGTGCATGGGATTATTTCTCCCTAGGTGCAGCAACCTGCTGAAATTCCTGAAGTTCCTCTCTGCCCCATCTCTCCAGCCTGTTGACGTCTCTCCGAATGGCAGCACAGCCCTCTGGGGTATCAGTCCCTCCTCCTAGTTTTGTATCATCAACAAACTTGCTGGAGAGTGCACCCTGTGCCTTCCTCCAGGTCATCGATGAATACATTGAACAAGACTGGACCCAGGACTGACCTCTGGGGGACACCGCTAGCTACAGGCTCCCAACTAGGCTTTGTGCCACTGACCACAACCCTCTGAGCTCTGCCATCTAGCCAGTTCTCAGTTCACCTCACCGTCCACTCATCTAGCCCGCACTTCCTGACCTTTTGATTCACCATCAAAAAACAAATGTAAAATAATAATTCTGCTCATGTGCAACCAAGGGAAGTGCAACCCTTTTCCATGACTTTAATGGTGTTATTTTTGATTCTTCTGATTTATATTGTGTGTGTAGTATTCCGTAACATTTGAACATCGGATCTCTGAATGACTTGTTCCACGCAAACCTATACAGACTATAATTATGGAGAGATTGGCACTCGGGTCCTTAATTAAAAGACACGAAGAAGAGCTACTGCCTCTGACCTCAGGTACAGCATTTTAAACATTCAGAACAAATTCAAAGAAGCAAAATGTTCATACTCAATAATAAACAGTAAGTAAACTTTTTCAGAGTTATTTCATGACTTCAAAACTTAAGTTTTGTAATATGGAAAAAAAGATTTCCAATGTGATAAAAAGCTATTGTTCCTTTCCAGTTCACTATCTAAATGGTGCATTGTGGCCTAAACCCAGGAGTTTCACAGATTTATCTCCAAAGTGAAGACTGCTGTATTTGAAGAACAGTCCACAGATCGGGAACCTGTTTTGTTGTTATAGTGAGGTATAAAATGAATTCCGGATTTTGTGATATCTTCAGGCTACCTAACTATATTTTTTATCAGTGTGACAAACATGATGACTATGTTCAGCTATTGAGAAAGTTGTTGTTAAGTGAGCATTGTAATGAGAATACATTTCTTATCTGTCGTGCTCAAAGAGTGACAAATGAATAATTTATAGAGCAGAAATTGAGTTTCAGCACAAACTCTTAGGACAGTTATTGCTCTTCTTGAGAAACGATATTTTACTTGATTTGATGAATACTGGAGAGAGAATTCTTTTAAGCATCGATATGCTTAAATGTCTGTGTTTGCACAGACATTACTGCAAGGTAACATTTATTTTTACAACAATATTAAAATGACTGTGCTTCTTTAAAATAAATAATTATAAGATGATTTATTGTCCCACAGTGATAGTGTACAATGACCTGTACAACGGATAAAACAAAATTCAGTGATCCCATTTCTCTTGGGGAAAAGCAGCTACCTATGCAATCCTGTGCAAATTCTTAATTATGCAACTAGGTGTTACTGAAACAAACAGCACAACAGGCGTGAATCTTAACTTTTGCCACTGGAGCTTCTACTAAATCCACAGACTGACTGTAAAAAACATACAGTGACAACTTATCCTTTAAATTTGAAGCTGACTTTTCAAAAGTGTTATTGTTTTCAAGCAAATTGTGGTAAGTTATGACTTGGAATCTTTTGGTATCATTTTAAATTCTGCCTTTAAGGATTGAGGGATCCACTGAAATTAAGAATGAAACTTGTACAGATATGAATGGCCTTTTCTCTAAGCCCATGCAAACTGCAATGCAGTTGTAAGACCTCAAATAGTAATTTACCTGTGCAGGGAATCAATCATCCTTTTGGAAGGCAACCTCCATAATATCCGAGGCCAGGGGTCACCAGAAGCACTGCAGTCCAGACGCAGAATGCTGCCATATGTTACATCGGTCCTCTGAGGAGAACTCCCAGTGATCTTGGCGTTAGATGCTTGCTTCCTCACATGCAGCTGTACTGTTCTCCTGGCAGCTCCCACCATGTTAGCCGCAATGCACTCATAGGTCCCACTGTCCTTTGGAGAGACATTGCGAATGTAAAGAGTTCCGTTGGGGAAAACAAATAAATTCCCATTGACAAACTGGGATGGTCGAATTTGTGTGCCGTCAAAAAGCACCCAACGGATGCTGGGAAAAGGTGCTGCTTTGGCATTGCAGTGGATGTTAATACTGCTACCAAGGGGCAAGGAAATGTTCTCCTGTTTATCCTGTTGGATGATGGGGGGTAAGGCTGCAATGTGGAGCCTCACTGCAATGCTGTCAGCTCCTGCAGCATTGCTAGCTACGCATTTGTACACTCCTCGGTCTGAAAAAGTTGCTTGCTTGATAGACAGGGTTCGATTTTCATGGAGCATTACCCTGCTTTCTGCAGTGGTGACTCGCTGCAAAATCCTCCTGTCGGGGAGAATCCAGGAAATATGTGGGCTTGGAATCCCACTGGCCTGACACTGCATTGCTACAGTCTCTCCAAAATATACTGTGACATCTCGATAGCGGGAAAGTAGAATTTTGGGCTGGTGGGCTACAACCGTAAGGACAATAATCATTTTATCTATGCCATGCAGGTTCTGAACAGTGCACAAATACTGCCCGTGATCCTGAAGCTGAGCATTTCGGATAACCAAGGTGCCATTTTTCAAGACCTCAAACCTTTGTAATCTTGTGTTGGCTGTCATTAGAGCACCTGGGAAGGTGAGAGGAAAGAAAGAAATAGAAAGTCAAAGGGTTTGTTTTTAAGACGTACACTGCTGCTTTGAAAAAGGCTGATGGAAAATTTTAGATCAAAATCACTTAACACCAACTACAACTTCAGATGGGTCATATTATGTCTTCAAATACTCTCCACAGCTCAAAGCGGTCTTTGTTTCTGTTGCAAAACTAACCACACTAATTTGGAAGCCTGTACAGTGTGGGAATGTTTAAAAGCTTTATCCTTCAGGATTTCCATCAAATCTGTACATAATTTCTCTTTATCTTTTGCTTAAGGAGATGGACACACAACAACAATATATCAAAAAATAAACACATTAAATAGGTTTCATTGTACTTGAAAAAAAATAATTTTATCTATAATGATTTCTCACTAATCGATTAAATAGACAAAAACTATTATTAATTAACAGTGCTACTCAGTGTTTTGGACTATTTGTGCAATAGTACTGCATTTCTGTGTGATAACCCAAGTATTTGTATCCTACTGTATGAGGAAGAACAAATTTTTTGATGTCTTACCTGTAGAGACTTTTGTCCAAGTAAGAAAAGGTTTAGGTTCCCCTACTGCATCACAAGGGATAAAAGCATCCGTTTCAGCAAGGATGGATATGCTGTGAGATCCCTTTGTGATAATTTTAGGTCTTTCTCCAGGAGTTTTGAAATTAGTGGGAGACTGAATTATGGTGGAATTATGTGGCATTATGCCTCTCACGTAAGGCACAGATGGAGCTTTTTGATGGTGATTATGGACACTTTTAAAAGGCTGAACTGTAGCGGATATATGTGGTCTTGTGTGCTGGGAGAGAAAGGCTGGAGGAGTAATCTTCAAAATCACTGGCAGCGATGATGTGGTGGTTGTGGTGTGTGGCAACGAAGGCACTGCAATAGCTGTAGCTTTCTGCACCGTGATCCTGGTAGGGGAGACCTGGGCAATTTTGTTCTCATTTGCATCTTTTGGGACTAATTGAGTAGGGACCACTGGTTTAAGATGCACTCCTAAGTGAGGGAATATCCTTGTTCGGTTGAGAGGGAACACCATTCTGGAACCAGGATGATGGGGGATCCCTTGACTTGGTAGTCTCGCTGCTGTACCTCTATTATCTGGGGGGTAGTTACTGCCAAAAAGTCTTGAATTAATATTGTATCTGTTCTGACTCTGATTACCAAACTTGCTTGCAGTGAGTAGATTTGTTCTGTAAAATGGAGTGGCTGGTGTTGTGGTTGTTGTTTCTGTCTGAGGGGCAGTGGGTTTTTTGTCCTGGATGGTATGTGCTGCATATGCTGTTATCTCTGGTTTGTTTGTATAGTGAAGAGGCTGGTGTGTTATAAAATAGCGAAATGAGCCTTGTGTTATAATATAGGGGGGCTTCATTGTGCCTCTTACTGGAATATGCCTTGGAGGCACAACAGGCAGTCTTTGGTTTAGGCTTGGTATCATTCCAGCTGGCGGATGGGGAAGGTGTGGATATAGCAATAAACTGTTGTTTGACTTGCTACTAGAGGTTTCTTTGAATTGTTCCTCTTTAGACTGTATACTGATCCTGTTTTGGCTAGAGGAGGGAGTAGGGTATGCATTCTGTCTTGAGCTCACTGTCACTCTGTCGACACCTGTTTCAATTTGTTTTGTCACTGGGAACCTTACTTGATTAAAGGCATCGCTATCCTTGGTGGTATAATAAACAGAATGATGTGAAGTGCTTGAAATGGGTGAGGGAAGAGTAGCAAGTTTTGTAAATGGGTCAAAGGCAGTGAGTGTAGTTGGAGGCTTTTCAGTTGTCTGCATGATGGGATCATGATGAAATACATGTGGCATAGCTTCCGTTTTATCCAGGGAAGATGTTTCTTTCCCCATCTGAGAAGGAACAGCAACAAATTTCTTCATTTCTGTTAGTGGAAAAGTTTGTGCTTCTGTTGTGCTGAAGGAGGAGGACAAAGCAATTATTTCTTGTTGCTGAGGTAGCTCAGTTATTGCTGGTGTTTTTAAAGCCACTGTAGGCTTCTGCAGCGCCTCTGAAACTGAAGGGTCCTTAAAAACTTCCACTGTGCCACCAGGAATACTTAAGTCTGTCACAGTGGGATATATCAGCTTGAATGCTCCAGTGGTGATTTCGTTAGCCAGAACTTCTGAGTCAAAAAGGATGGACTCTTCTTGAGTTTCTGGGTAACTAGGTTTTGTAGATGATATCAAGGTGCCCATATGCTCAGGAGAAGCTGTTATCCTTGATTGTTCTGCCTTACTATCTGTACTTTCATAAGCTGCTTTACTGCTTTTTTCTTCGGACATATTGTCTAATGAGTGGTATGTTGGTACATTATTTTGCTCTGGTTTCAGGGGTGTGTCTGATTTTGTCATAGGAACTGTGTTATGTCCAACATATGATGGTAAGGTTGTGGCAGCTGCAGTGACTGGAAGTGCCAAGGTTTCGGGAGCAGTAGGAAGTGTCACATCTTTTGTTTCAGGTGAAGAAGTAGTAGACTTAAAAAAAGAAGTTGTGACCACCTCTCTAATTTTGGTCACCTTCTCTAAGACAACTGGATCAGTAACTAATGAAGGAGTAACTTCCAAGCGCTCCTTTTCTTTAGTATGCATTTTGATATCAGTTTTACGATCATCATCAAGAGCTGCAGGGACACTTTTGGTAATAGCTTCAACTTTAGATGTTCTTGGAATGATAGGTATTCCGTCTGTGGTTAAAATAAAAGGGGGAAAAGGCTTTGGTCTTTGTCGGATTCTGTTTGGCCTCAGTCTCCTTCTCCCATAAGGCCTTTTTCTACCATGTTGAGTAACATGTAAGTTAGAGGGTGTGATCTTTCTATAAGGAGTTGTTGTGGCCACAGTGGTCAATTTGCTGATGGAAGCAGCAGTTGTTATCCTCTCTGCTTTTATACGAGGAGTGTTAGTACTTGTCAAAGTGAACATGGGACCTGGTTTTGGAGCAGGCAGGTTTCTGTGTTCTGCTCCTTGAGGACTCTTTGCATAGCTGCTGGACATGCTTTCTTGAGCCACCGTATCCCTCTGGGTCTCTGGTTCTTCCTTGCTCTGGACACTGATGGATGTGACAGCTTGATAATTTGTACTTAAGTCTGCAGTTTTAGTCCCACCTGTGGGTACTTCTGTGTGCTGGTGTATCAAGTTACTGCTCTTTTCTGTAACAAATGGTGAAACAGATGAAGAAATGATAGTAGCAGCTGCAAAATCTGTTGAGATGATCTTGTTCAACTGGGAAGGTGTGAAAATTATGCTATCAACACTGACGGGGTCCACTTCATTTGCATTCACATTTGTCTCCAAGACGCTATGAAGATCTAGAGCCTCAGATTGAGCTAGGACAGTAGCATCAAGTGGTAGCTCAGTAAAAGCAGAATTTTCCTCTGACTTAGAAGATACAGGTGTAGCTCCATTTCCCACTGTGAACAAACTGCTCTGAATATTCGGGAAGTTAGTTACTATCTGTTTGGTTAGAGGTCCTTCAGTGAGAGCATGGATATTTTCTGTGATTACAACTGAATAATCAGTCTTGATGTCAAGCTGCTGCTGACTTTGGGGTTGCACAGTTGCAGAGACCGGACTTGAATATGGATCTGATATAGGGCTTTCCACAGTGTATTTACTTGCAGGTGTTTCTAAAGCCCTGTGGTCAGAGGAAGGTTCTGTTTCTGATCTCGTTAATATGGATTGGGCTGAAAATGCTTTAGTGCTGTGGGAAACAGTGACTGAGAACGGTTCATCTTCACCCAAAGGCAAGGCATCAGCAGAAGAATCTACCACATCAGATGCTGTCTCTGAAGCAGGAGGAGGGCTTGCTACTGGATGAGGGACTGGAGTCGTTTTCTGCATGACTGATGGCAGTGCAGTTGTTAAAGAAACGGTTGTTGCCGTTGCCCTGGGAAGATTTTTCCCACGGACCTTCGCCAAAATGTCAGCCCACTGTTGTGGATTAATCTGTTTGTTTGCCATATTAATTCTCCTTCGAGATTCAAATACTCTCCGGCCTTCTGCAACATTGCTGTCTTGGATTCTATCAGTACCTTTCCAGATTTTCATTTTCCTTCTGCCCTTCCTCCCTTTTTTAACTTGAGTCTCTGACACCTGGTCAGTTCTTTGCTTAAAGGATATTTCCCGGTCTTTCAGATGGTTCTTTTTTCGTGGGGACTCATCCACCCCTCCTGCCCCTGATCCCTCTCCATCCTCTATTACCCGCCCTCTTGTTTTTGCTAAACTTTTTGAATTCGGACGCTTTTTTAGTTTTATCCTTTTAAATGACCTGTCAGACACCATTTTATTTACCGTAACCCTTATCACAAACTGATCGGATCCATGCAGATTGACAGCCACACATCTGTAATAGCCACTATCACTGACGTGGCTTTTTGGAATAAGCAAAGTACCGTTGTCCAACATGTATCCTTTTGATGCGTTTGATAAATCATTGAGCACCCGGTTGTTTGGAAGAATCCAGCTCAGCTGTGCCTCTGGAATGGCAACTGCACCACAAGGCAAAACTATTGGATCTCCAACATTTTTTTCAACTCTCACTACATCTGAATCAGCTGGCTGAATAGCTGGTGGCTGCACTAAAAGTCTGTAAGCCATTATATCCACATCATCGCTCACTTGGGCAATGCAGTAATACAGACCAGCATCAGTGTAAGTCACTCCTTTGATTATTAGCTGGCCACGACTGAGAATGGAAAACCTACTGTCTTTCTGATTAAACGGTGCCTCCAACTTAGTCCCATCTGGAAAGAGCCACTGAATGAAGGGACTCTCAGATGCTTTCACATTGCAGCTCAGCTGACACTCTGAACCTTCCACCACACTCTGCGCTGTCCTTGTGCTCTGATTTTGCTCTATCATTACCCAGCTTCTCTGCTGCCTGGTGTCTTTGGTATGAATTGTCTGAGAGAACTCAGTAAAAAAAGACAGCACCACTTTTTTCCCTGTACTCTGGCGTCTGTTTAATTGGATATTTACCAGAGGTTGCATTATCCAGGAAGGTTCAGAGAGTATTTGAGCTTTGACACCTGTGTAGTAAAGAGCATCATAATCTGAGCCTTGCCTGTACCGATAGCTTATTTTAGGCTCTTTGCTGAGCATAAGTTCCCTCTCCAGTTTGAGAGGTACTTCACTATAATAAGCTATGAGCTTCCATAATTTTTCATAGTTTTCTCGATTCATTGGACATTCAAAATCCAGTGAAATTGTAGCATTTATATCAATTTCTTGAGGCTGGATTTGACTCCACTGAATTTTGGTAGAGCCCGTTGGTTTTTTGATTTCACAGTTCAGGTGGACTACATTGCCATGCTCATCAGTCATATTCAGAGTAATATTCCATGGAGAGGACTGAAACTCTTCCAGAGGGAGCCTGTAATTGTCACGATCTTCTTCCTCTTGAACGCTGCTATTCTGTCTCAGTGAGGACTGAATAACAGGTTTCCTACAGGAAATATCTTCCAAATTTTGAATATCTTCTTTCTGCAGCTGTTTTGGGCTATTGCACTTAGGACAGAGCTGTCCTCCTTCATAGGCTTTGTCCTTTTTGCATTTTAAAACACCTGCAAACAAAAAAAATAAAACAAAAGATAGGTAAGCTCCTGAATTAACCAGAAATAACTAGAGTTAGGGAACTCTCAGGAGGGCTGAATGACTGCACAAGGAACACATACTACACGAAATATACGGCAAGGTTTTCAAATTGGCATTTCTTTGTTTTCACATTTGAGTGGGCCTGATTTTCAAAGTGAGCGAGTACAGTTTCCTCCAATTTTAATGAGAGGCTTGAGTACTCCTTCCTTCTGAAAATTAGATCCACAGCTTCTGAAGAAAACGCTCAGAAATTGAAGGGTCCACAGCTACTTTTTAAAGGTCAGCAAAAAACTACGCTGTGTCAAAAAAAACCAGCATGTGCATAGTGAGAACCTACCCATCTAACTCGTACACCTAAGTTGAAGAGGACTGCATCCACTCAGTTTTAAAAAACGCAGCATTTACCTGAGAAATGCTGGACATGCTCATTAAATACTCCAGGAGGCTGTTTACTATTCTCTATCCCTTAACATCCACACTGGCAATACACAAAACATACTATTGCAGCTGCCAAAATCTGCTAATTAGTTCCTGTACTTATGAACTATTTGCCAGCAGTAGAATACGCAAGTACCACTTTTTTCCCTGACCTCTAAAATACCTCCAATCTCTGTAATGATAAAAGAAAGACTAAAACAGACAAGGAGTGCTAAAACAGGAAATAATAACAAAACAAAAACAATGTCCTTGACCCCTTTCTTCTGTCAATGCCAGAGAGACTCATCTGCAGAATAACAGACATATATTTATGTTTACTTTGTTCTGCTTACTATAACTTCAAGCATTGCCTTACAAACGTAGTTTGGAAACACAATGTAAATAAAATGCGTCCTAATTATTCTAGGTATAAGTGTCATCTTGATCACTCCTGAGGAATAAGGGATCTTTGAATGAGTGAATAATATAAGGGTGGGTTATAAAGCAAAATGCTAGGAGAAGGGGGAAAAAAGACCTGGCAAAATTTCATAACCATTTTTTAATTGAAAAATACATGCTTTGTCCATTTCACAAATCTCTTTTCGTTAGAAGTTCTTACAAATGGAACTTTTAATTGAACCAGTCTGTCATTTGCAGATTGAAATATGATGTTTCAAAGACAAGGAAAGTACTTCCCATGACAGAACTGGCACATAATCAACTTGGCAGTTGCTGTACTGGTCGGAAGAACTTTTAAGAGATCACTAAAACAGCACTTTTACGACTCCACGTTTTCAGGGACAGAATTCCCAAAGAAGCCAAGGCTACAGTTGTATAAAGATACAAATCCTGTCATATGTGAACATGACAGGGATATAAATTCCCTTCTCTGTCCAAAAATCGCTGTTGTAGCTTAGAAGAGGAATCTAACGGAATAAAAATGGCAGCAAACATCACTGTGCAAGGAATAACGTTACTCAAATATTTCACCCTTTTAACTTACAGTGCTCCTTAGCGCTCCTTTAATACACCTACTCATTTGGATGAGGAAGAGTATACAAGAATACCAGGATGTAAGTAAGTCAGTTAAATATAAAGCCAAATTTAGATACTTCAGGTATCAGTTCAGTCAGGAACATTTATAATACACATTCAAACACCACACACTCTTAAAAGCATAAGCTACAGTTAAGTGAAAAACTGCAAGGAATGACATAGTCCAAGATCATAAGACTCATCACCATATTGAGTCCAAATCATTATATAAACCTTATGACTCCAGCACTCATCTGAGATATTTGCAGTTGCAATTAAATGTCAATTTCCTCCAAATATTCTATCAGCAAAGCTGATGGAATGTCAGTCCCCCTGGACTACTGCAGTAAGCACTCAGCTGCCTGACATGGAGTGCTGGTGGACTCAGATACCTAAATCAAAAACCAAAATCCAAAAAAAAACCTTATTTAGTGACTACTGATCTAGAGACATCATAAAATTCACTATTGGTCTAGTATCTCGCTTCTGCATGTGTCCAGAAGTACTTCAGCCTCAGCAGTGTGATATTTATCTCACATCTAAGCCTGAATGAAGACACACCTTCCTCTGAAAAATCTGCAGGATTGCAGGTGTTCTCTAAGAATATTTAAAACAAATTGGCTCCCTCACAAAACAAAGTTGCAGTCAATGAAGAAACAGAGACAGACAAGAAAGATGCCCAAATATTACATACCAGCCTTAAACAGCTTTGAAGTTAAAGGGCTCATCCAGGAAACCTGATTTCTATTCCCTCCGTAGCCCAAAATGTTCAAATCCAAGGCTTTCACCTCCCAGGAGAGCACCTAGTTACTAATTTTGGTTGAAGGCAATTGCTAGTTGTACTACTGTGCAAAGGAACACACGAACAGCTTCCTACTTCCAATTACAAACTTTACTATCAGCTTTTTCATCTTGAATGTGACCACCAACTCCTTTGCTGTTGAATACTGAATTTTAGCTAGTGACACACAGTCGCTCCCTTTTTACATTGCTTTTTAAATACATGTATTTTTCAGATGGTAAAGGAACAGAATAGCGCATATAAACATTGTTTAAGTAATACAACTCTGGAAATAACAAAGCTATCCATACACAGAACAGAGAAAGGACATCTAACATTATGAGTTGAAGAAGCATTGATATTTTTGCTCTTACCTGCAGAAACTTCATTCCATTCAAGGAACCACTTCAAGCTGCAGTCACAGGACCATGGATTCCCATGAAGGTAAAGATTCTCCAGCAGCGGCATGCCTTGAAACATCCCTGCGGGCAAGGTCCTAATAGCATTTTCAGACAGATACAGATGTCTTACTGTTGACAGTTTGAAATAATTAAGGACCATAAATGTTGAAAATGTGCTGGGGTGAAGCTGCTGGAGCAAATTTCCTTCCAAATGGACCAGTCTCAGAGAAGTTAATCCATTAAAAGCATTTGGATGAATAAACTCAATTCTGTTGTGGTCCATGTGGAGTCTCATTAAGCTTGAAAGTCCTTGAAGGGTTTGGTCTGTTATGACTTTCAACTTATTGTAACTAATTTTGAAAACCTGGAAGAGAATAAAATGAAATTAATTGTTTTTGTACATAAATCCAAATGTAAGAGTGAGCATGCAGAAGTTTTCCTTCCACATGTAAATATTCTTTGCACTGCTGAAAAATGATACACTGATCACAGATGAGAATGTAACTGAATATTAATTGACATTATCAAGCATGACATGGGTATAGTTAATAGATTTCCAATATATTTGAGAGGAAAAAAAAAGATACCTTAACTGATACTAAGCAAGGCATTAAAGAAAACATTTTTTCTCATCCTCTGTCATTCACGGGAGCTGTAATTTGCGATATTTCAGAACATCTGAGCATTACCTGTAGAGACACGAGATCTTTCAAAGCACCATTAGGAATATTCTGAATGTCATTTCCATGAATCATGAGCAATTCCAGTTTTGTGAGTCCCGCAAAGGAGTTTTCATATATAGACTGTATACTGTTAAACCTGGAAGAAAAATCACAACTCGTTTAAGTTACATTTTACGCACTGACTGTCGCAGACCGCAAATGTAAAATCAGTATAGTCTAACTTTCAAGAAAAATTGGATGGATCTTAATGCATTGTCAAAGGGCCAGAAACTACTGAAACATTTTTACAAGGCAAAGCATACTTAGTCCATGTTTACATTAAGATTTCTTTTAACGCAATTTGTGCCATTTTAGCCATAATTCAAAAGTAAGAGCAACAAATAGGCATTTTAAGTTCTAACAGTTGTCAGCATGTTATTCCATGTAGCTCAGTTTATGGAATGGTAATAAACTAATGGACTTGCAGCCAACCAATGATGCCATGGAGCCTGGCAAATTAGATGGACTGCAGTGTTGCCAGAACTGCATCTTGCAATAAATGAATAAAGATTTAGAAAGAGGACATTAAAAATGGACATGTCCCAAAAAGCACTAGAAGCAGAAAGTCACAACCTGTTTAACTTACTGCTACAACACGTAATTGGCTACATCAATTAATTACATAAAATCTGGGAACTGACTTTCAATTATATAATTTGAGTACGGAAACTTCTTTTAGAGAAGTGATATAGAAAATCTGCTTGTTTGAAAACAATTCAGTTTCACCTGCTGGACTAATAAGTCAGGTTTTATTTGCCAATATGGGAGCCTTAAGTTTGGCTGCCTAGTTCTACATTTGGACTTTCCTCGTGCAGACACAAAGTTAGATGTATGAGCTAATCTGGGCACGAACACTCTAAATTAAGCATCTAATTTTTTCCCCCCTATTTTTTAATACTTTTCCTTCTAGAAAGGAAGTGGGGAGAGAGAGAGAGCAAGAGAGACACTGAAGTACTTTGAATATGAAGGAATACTTTTAGATCCTTTCCTTGTTATCTATGTGAAGTTTCATAATTGGTAAAAATTCAGGCTATTTTTTATTATTACTTTTAGTCCTATTACTAGGCTAATACGCTACTACGCTAATAGCAGAGATCCTATTTAAAGTTCATATTTCAACAGCAGTCCTTCTAAAGCATATGAACTTCTCTAAATAAGAAATTTTCTTAAAGTATTTCCTGGCAGGAAAATAACCTTCATCTCCTAAATATCTATAGCAACTTAAAATGGAAATATGGTAGAAGCACTTTTTCTAGAGTGAAAGAAATGCACCATTAGATAGGTAACAGCATTTCTTCTCAGGAAAGGAAAAGTCTCAGAAAATGTCATTTGTAGTGACGAAATACAGAAAGATAGGAAAGGGCTTTTATACCAGCAGTATCAGACAATACACTTCTATTTAAAAATAGCTCTCAGGATAAAACTTCCAAAATACTTAAGTAACTTAGAAGCCTACATCCCATTTTTTGAAAGCAATTTAGGAAAAAGAACTTGGCATATCAAGTTGATGTAGGGAGCAGAAGTGAGTGTGAATATATATGGTGTTGAATGTGGGAAAATGAGAGGGAGGGCAGCTTAATATAATCTATAAAGACAGAGGATTTATTTTAGAAATATGATACCGAATGGGCTTAGAAGAGGAGAAATAAGTCTAAAGGGATGGAAATTAAGAAGTTACTACATTTTGGAGAAAATCTTGTGCTTTTATACGAAGTGAATGAAGAGATTACACATTCTCAGTAAAGCTCTTAGTGTTCCTGAGATGTTAGTTATTTAAATTCTGTCTTTTTTTCTCTCATTTCAGTGGCAGCAAGGTAACTAGTTATAAATGTCACAAAGAAGTCCCAGGAGACCACACAAGTAAAACTCTTTTTACATGAGCCCTACTATATGCAATAAAAATGAATAGGATATAAGAGCAATTTCCACAGCAGACAGTGCAAGAGTTCAAGATCATGGAAACAGGGACATGGATTACTGGGCATGTTCCACAACATTTTCATTTTCCTAGCAAAAGTTCACAGAGACATATAAGGCCAACTGGAGGCATACATAGTGTTGGGTAGGATTTGGCAACTCTGTATTGCAGCTTCTTTGGCAACAACTTTTAAATGAACTTGCTTAAATTACTCTCCTTGGTACCGTGAGTGTTAACTTAAGATTGACTCGCACTTCTTTCTGTATGCAATTTTGGCTTTTCAGTGGGGCCTGCCAACAATTATTCTGATAACACATGGCCTGAAATAATATTGAGAACATCTCCCACACCACAAAATGTTATAAGGCTGACCTAAATGGAAATCCATTCCATAGCATAGGAATTGCAGTGTTATGCATCATTCCAGTATTAGTTTCAGTGATTTTACTATGAGTTGCTTGGATGACCCAAAAATGGTATGAAAATACAGACTGCTACAACATAGATGTATGAAGTACAAGTGCATTCTGAGAATAAGATTAGGCTCTATAGGTGGATAAAGTGTTGGCAGATAAGAGACAATTTAAATTACAGAGGAGCACATAAATCTATTAATAGTGACTACTGATCAGTCGTAGTTTACAGGCACTTTGGGGGGGTTTCATACCAAGGAAGGAGGCAGCCCTCATGTCAAGTGGAAGAGAACTGAGACCCTCCTACCATGCTATGTCCTATAATGGCCCTACACACTTTGTGACATGCAGTGCATAAACTGTCCTTGCCTTCTCTTTTCAGTCTGGCAGACAGATGTCTGCTGGCAATATCCTGGTGGAGGAAAGTGAGTTGGAGACTGAGCTATCTCTCCTCACAAAAAATGTTGTCTGCTTATACTGAGCTTAAGTTCCTTGGAAAAAGACCTCTAGTACCAGTGTAATAGCTCATCTTTACCATATACCTCAATGTGCTCTAAGATGCTACCTGGCTGCATTATAGAATTTACTCCTAGCATATTTTTATACATCAGGTATAATATTCTACATCTAGTACAAATCTCACAGCACATTCTTTTTCAATAAAATTATCCAATACTGTATAAGACTGCACGTACTATTTGCCAACAGGAACCGACATCATAATATAAATGCCCACGTGAAAATAATAGCAACTTCTCTTTGCAAAATGAGGGCTAGACTAAAACCTCCTTACTACCAGTAACTTTAGCACAGCATCTGCAAGTAACCACCCGCCTCTGCAGTGCCACTTAAAAGGCACACCCAAAGAAGCCGGTGGGCAGCCCGCGCGCTCAGCGTTCCCGGATTCTCCGCCAAGACCACAAACACGCTTCGCGACGCCCGCGATACGCACCCGAAGTTGATCCTTTCCACGTGCGTCGAGATCCTGGCTGGCACGGCTGCTAGGGAGCGGAAGGTGCAGTGGACCTCGGTGGGGACGTAGCAGGCGCAGGGGCGGGGGCAGCCCCGGGCGGCGGGCGGCAGC